TTTCAGTTTGTAGGATAAAATATTCTTCATAGTCACCTTTTGAGCTTTAGCCCAACCCTAATGCTTAAATTCATTAAGGCACAATGCCACAACCTACCGACATCTGTTTTGGAACAACAAAAGATAATCTCTTTTGTGCTTGATTCCAGGAGTTGATGAGCAATGATCAGCTATTCTATGGACTCTCTCAGATCTTGCGAAAGTTCCCAAAGGGACTGGTAAGTTGGAACTTTTATGAGGCGGAATAGCCCCCAAAAATAAAGATTAATCAAACTATTAGAAGTTTGTAGATTTTATGACTACAATCTAAAATCTGACCTGTTCATACTCTTCATTCAGATAGGGTACTTTGTCATTTCTGCTTCAAGCCAAAGAAATAACAAATGAAGTCTTAGGTATGACAATGCTAAGAAGAGCCAAATTGATATCAAGCATCGTTCTTCTGAAAACTGTATTAGATGTCTTGCCGTTGCTGTCCAAGGTAATATTCTTCTCCCTTTCACCAGTGGGCTCTTGCTGGATTCTGGAACTTCTTTTGATATACTGGTGGCAATGATAAAACTTAGGTGCTTAACGATGCACGGTGGTTTTCTCTTGCAAATGTTTACAAGGCATTAGAAGAGGTATGGCTCATTGCCCTAAACTGACAACTTAGAACCTTGCCTGATAATATTGTTCATTCATATGTTTTCCATGTGTTCTCCAATGCTAATTAGCCAAAAGAAGAATGGAAAAAATATTTCATGTTCATTAAAAAGGCAACTCAGGACTAGAGGCAAGGGTCACGTGTTGATTGTGGATTCCCCTCAAAACTTAAGAACTTAACATTGGGATTGTTTGATAACATAAATTACAGTTTTTCATTCTTGAGAATGTATGATAACTTGTCATATGCTATACATGATTCAGTTTATTGATTAATGTTTTGCTGCACCAGTTGCTCAAAAATTTGTTTTTTACACCAGTGTAAGTAAAATCCAAAAAAGGTTTTAGATTTAAGGTACATGAGCGTCTCTTGGCTATGCCATAATAGATCTGAATACTTGCCCTAGATCGACTTCCAGATCATAATTTCTCTAGTGAATAACTAAAAAAATATATAGATAGATAGACAAAAGAAAGAAATTAATTATAAGCATCTCTCATAGGTTCATGAATTTACTTGACTGCTGGCGATTTTTCTTATTGGTATCTGGTAAATCCCATACTCAACAGTTAAAAAGAACTATATAAGCATAAAATGAAGCTACTAATTCCTGGAAGCTTTATCCTTTTAGAATTGGAGAGGTGATTAACGAAGATGTGCTTCACGCACGTGTTCCTTTTGTTGCTCGCACACAGCAGTTTTGCTGTCAAGGCTGGAATTGATGGACTATTAGATATTGCACAGAGATCCTTTTGTGTTCTTATAAAAAAAAAAGAGATCCTTTTGTGATACCAGCGAAGGTTACCCCCTCCTCTTCTCCATATCTAATTCCGTTCTGTGTTTTATTTTTGTCATTCCAAGACGGCTATTCTTACTATTTCATTTTGACTTTACAGCTAGACATAACCTTGCAAACAAGTACCGGGAAGAATACAAGCTGTCCAAATCTGAAAATCCCATTTAACAATTGACAGGGTTTTTACTTTAGCATTCCACATAAAGACATTCAGGGCAAGCTTCCTATCACTTCACGTATTGATGTAAATGAGAATTTCCTATCATCTCAGACTTTAGTATGCTTGTGATGGAAAATCAGGTTGTGAAGCATGGGAACAATGTACATTGCTCAACTTTGGAACTTGCTTCTGTAAGTATTGTTTAAGGATGCCATAGTTGTGGTTTGATCTTAGTTCATGGTCTGATATAGATTTTTCTCACTTATCCCCCAAAAAGAAAAGAGCATATACCGGTGTTGGCGAGCGTATTCATTGGAAACAATTATTGGGTTGATTGATTAGTCTATATCAGAACAAAACCTGGGCACCAATTGATTTTGTTGCTATGTAGCCAAATTTTGTTTGTCGATATCAGCATGCTACTGTTTTTAACAGTTTTACTTTTATCAGCTTGTCTGGGTATTAAAAAATGCTTTGATTACTCGATGTAAATTGCATAATTTGCAGTTGAATGTCAGAAACAAATCTGCGGCTGCTGAGTGCTATGTTAGAACAGAAATTTGCTTGGAAGGTTTGTAGTTGACTCATGACTGCTTATTTTCAATGTCACTGACACGTTCTACTTGTCCATTTGTATCTTATCATGTGAATTCTTCTGAAACTTGGTTTTGTAAATGTCTAGTTGTCTACCTTAACTGAATTAAAAATGCCGGAATTGTGTGGCAAGAAAGGTTCTTTTTTATCCTAATAATTACAGAAGGTTGCCTGTGAGGATCGAGCATGCAATCAAACTTTTGAAAGGCATATTCAGTCTTCCTGAATAGATTCCCCCCCCCCCCCAAATTTCCTAACTAAAGACTGCTGAAGCTTATGCTGTTAACATACTATCTTTTCAAATTTTGATTCACATATGGTACCTTCTCTATATGTTATGAAGTGGTTTAATTGTTTCATTCATTACTTATGTTAACTTTATGTGATTTGCAGCCCTAGTTGATGCCATAAGGGAGGACATCTCTCTGTTCGCACTTATTGCTGAAGTACTGTGCCTCTTAGATATGATTGTTAATTCATTTGCGCATGCAATATCAACCAAGCCTTTTGACCGATATATTAGGCCAGGATTTACTGGTATTTTATTTTCCAATTCCTAATATGTATTCTTTTCATGTTCCAGGTTTGATTAGGGTAAATTTAATTGTTATTAGTTGCTCGCAGATAATAACCCTCTAGCAATTGACGCTGGAAGACACCCCATTCTAGAAAGCATACACACTGATTTTGTGGTATATTCTTTTGTACAGTAATTAGAAGTAATTTTACTGCTTTCATGAGATTCTTTATTGAAGTTGGATAATAGCACTGCTATCATATATTAATGATTGAACTGTCTGTGCCATGGAGTTTTCTTAAAGATCTTTGATACCATTAAGATATTTTAAAATGCTTTTGGTTGCAGCCCAACATCATCTTCCTTTCTGAAGCATCAAATATGGTTATTGTAATGGGACCAAACATGTAAGAAATTTTCTAGGAAACTGCATCTCGTTAAGATTCAAAGTCATTGTAAATATCCTTTTTTTGTTTTGCTTTAAATAAAGCCCTTGCTATCTATTAGTTTAAGATTTAGACTATCAATTTTCTCCAACCAGGAGTGGAAAGAGCTCTTATCTTCAACAAGTGTGTCTCATAGTTATTCTAACTCAGATTGGCTGCTATGTTCCAGCCCACTTTGCAACAATTAGAGTAGTTGATCGTATATTACAAGGATGGATCAATGGATAATCTTGAATCAAACTCTAGTACGGTACAATATCTGAACTTCACAATTGCAAATATTTAAGCCATATTTTCATACCACCATCTTACTTCCACTATTGACGATAAACAAAGATATATGTTTATCTCAAGTGTTTAATAGCAACTGCACTGTTTCTTCCGTTATAACTTCAATATTCACTTAACATGCTGATAAATTGTTACTATTTTCATTTTTAGTCCTTACAATGTCATATCTAAACAAGCACAAAATACTTCTATCTTTTCTAGTCCATTCCGTACCATTTTATTTTATAACTTTTATTTGAAATTTTTTCGAGTCGAGTCTATGAGATTCGAGTCAAGTCGAATTTTTCAAATTTTTGTTTAAATTTAGTTGTAAACATTTATAATGTTATGGTACTATTTGATTCTAATTTATGTAATTTTCCGCGACCATATAAGATATACGTACATACATATTATATGCAAAGTTAAGAGACTTGACTAAACTTCAAAACCAATTCACTAATTATTAAAAATTGAGTTAATCGAATTCTATTTTATAACTCGATCCGAATTTGAAATTTTTACGACTTAAATCAAGTTTATGAAATTACGGGTCAAAACAAATTAAGTTTTTTAACATCAAGCTGAAAAAAATCAGTTTTCTTTAAGTTAAATTGTGTTTTTCTTACCCTACATCTAGTTGTTTGCGGTGATACAGTTTATGACAGAGATGAAAGAAACTGCCTTCATCATGCAGAATATCGCCCAAAGGTAAGAATCTTCAGATGTCATTAACATCTTGGTATATGCAACGCACTGAAAATTATATGTGCTTTTATGATATAGGAGTTTGATTGTTATGGATGAACTTGGGAGGGCTACTTCTTCTTCTGATGGTTTGGCAATAGCAAGGAGCTGCTGTGAACATCTGCTATCCCTCAACGCACTTTTCCTTAGTTTTTGTGTAGCAAATGACCAAACTTGCACCAATCAACATCTTTCTTGGGCCATCTTATTTAGGTATACTATATTTGCCCTAAAATAATGTTTTTGATGATTCGAACTCTGATTTTTACCCAGTTTCAACTCAATGATGGACCGAGACATGTAGCAAGCTATGTCTTCGACTAGCAGAAGTAGCGGGACTACCAAGTTCAGTGATTGATACCGCTAGAAGCATAACTTCAAGGATTACAGAGAAGGTAATTTCAGTCAAAGTAGAAACATGAAAACCTTGTTTATTTGTGCTATGCTTCCAGTTTCGTTACAGTTAACAGAATTTCTAAATCACTATGCTTTAGTTTTAGTGTCTATGAGACGTTAATTCGGCATTGTAATAAGGTCTAATGTCCAGGAAGTGAACCGGATGGAAGTGAACGGCCTGAATTATAATCAAATAAAGTCGGCATAACATGTTGCTCATCAACTAATATGCTTAAAGTATTCTAATCAAAACGAGGACTCTTTCCGCCAGGCATTGCAACTTCTGAAAGAGGGGCTATATTGATGGTAAAGTCTAAAGCTTACTTTTCACCCCTATTGCTCTTATTCTAAATAAGAAAGAAGATGAAATTGTAATTGTCACAAAACGAATCAGCGACAAGCCAATATGAAATCAGAAGGTATTAAAGTGAAAATAAGGGCCCTAGATATGCATATGACGTAATGATAGTAGTTGTTCTGAAAAGCAAGTAGCAACAACTTAAGAGATTCATAGAATCTCAAACAAAACAAATTGCATGTAATATTCAAAGACTCAAAATCTTTAGAACTTAGAAAATTTTGTAACTCAACATGACGACTTCTAAAACCAAGGGAAGCAGGAAAACGTCCAGGAACACACTAACTCAGCGGTAGCGACGAAGGGAAAGAGTGTTGTTTCTCTTCCAGGTTGCCCTGCGAGAAGGACGGTTCTTGTGGTGCAGATGACCCTTGCCGTGCAGACCCCTGTTTTTCTTTCCAGCAGATGTGAGTCCTCGAAGTTCTCTGTGCTTGTGAACTGGATTGCATATCCAATTAATTCTTGGGTCATTGCGGATGGCATTGTGTGCAACATCCACCAAGATAACCTCAAAGTACTTGTAAGTAGAATCCTGAAGGATAGAATCGGAAAGAAATTAGAGCCAAGCCATTTTGTTGCTTTGTGGCAAAACAGAAACATATAGCAAGCCCTACATACCTCATTGATCCAGTACGAGTTAACCACCCTGAGACCTCCCAATTTTCGACCAGCACGCTCCTCTGCAACGGAACGCTTGCTGCGCTGGAACTTCAATTGGGTGACACCCTGGTTTGTGGGCTTACCGTACACAATACCCTTGGGAACAGGCCTCTTGCGGCCACCCCTCCTAACACGGACACGGTAACCACATAACCCTGGACAAAGAATGCACAAAATTTCCGTAAGCAATCATTTGAAAAGAAAGTACATACAAGCATACAATCGAATCGATTTAATACGAACACAAAAGGGAACCAAGGGTATACAATCACTATCTGTTTAGTCCAGTAGGTCTCAGAAGCTCACATATAATAATATACCATTTCATTAAAACACCTAGAAATAACAAATGTCTTTTGCAAGCGACCAATTGTTTGACGCAAACTAAGTGATCTAAAGAAGAATTCCTTGATTAAGTGGAGGATAATTGCTTGACCTCAGCAAAAATCAAGTTTTAAAGCTAGCATTCTCGATATGTTATTTAGAACGGAATAAAAGATGCAAGCAACTAACTAATACAAGCCATCAGAAAATGTTGAATTGGACATTACTTGTTTGGCCTTGTAACCCAATCTGCGTGCCTTGTCGGGACGAGTAGGATGGTTGACCCTAACAATTGCCGGATGCTGGCGGTATTCCCAGCACCTCACCCTCTGTAAAAACCTCATCACATCGGACTGCTTCTTCCTCCATAGCTCCGAGACGTACTTATAAGCCCCTACATTTTATCATTTACATAAGTAAAAGCCCGCACTTTAATCCAAAGAAACAGTAATGCAAGGTAAAGACTTTAAAGAAATTGTAAATACAATTGCTTTGCACTGCAACGATAAAATGTTTCATAGCATAACAGTGACATAAGGAAAAAAACATAAAAATCTGGAGAAAAAACGAACATATCAAAAATACCAAAACGAAACAATAGCTACCAGCTCAAAAATGAAAATCACAAAAGGTTCAACTTATTGAAAAATTATATATATATATATATATATATATATATATAAGATTAGAATCAATCCCTTAATGGAGATGTGAAAGTAGTTAAGTGAAACACGTGAGAAAAATACTTGAGAGGAAAGTACAGAGAAAATATGCAGCCAGAACCAGTAAAAATTGATAGAGAGTGAGCTTGAAGGAGTACCCATTGGCGAGCTGAGCAGAGCGGCTAGGATTTCGCTTGTGCAGGAGAATAGAGTTGATGGATACTAGGGTTTCGGGTAAAATAAATAATCTATTATAAAGAACGAGCTTTATTGGATACCCTAAACTGGGCCGTCCATTTTGTTATTATAGTTCTAGTCTTGGGAGACTTAAATAAAATGCGAGCCTTTCAAAGTAAATTAGACAAACAATTTGTCAAATAGTTTCTTCTATATAATCAGTTAATTTAATAGAATAAAAATATTAGATATTTTAAATAAGATTGGAAGTAAGATTGGAAGTTCAAATTTTAATTATTAATAATGAAACAGGATTTAGAACACCTTCCTAATAAATCTGTATAATATTCTATCTAAATTAGTTGATTTGGCCTGAAATTTACACTACTCTAAATTAGACATTTTAAATATATATATTTATGAAATATGTCTAATAATAATTTTAATATCAACAGTAAATTGTTATCAACAACCCGCTAATTTAATAGAATAAAATATTAGATATTTTAAATAAGATTGAAAGTTCAAATTTTAATTATTAATAATGAAACAGGATTTAGAAGAACACCTTTATAATAAATCTGTATAATATCTAATCTAAATTAGTTAATCTGACCTGGAATTTACCCTACTCTAAATTAGACACATATCATCTTCGTTTATTGATTTAACAGTCTAAATAAAAGTTAAATTCATACCACAAATCTAAATATTTAATATTATTATATTCTTAAAATTTTAAAACTCGAATGACATCTATATATATATATATCATTCCAACTTGAATTAAGATTGAATAAAAAAAACACTATTTATTTAAAAGAAAGAACACATTATGATAATACTTAATGAGAAAACATCAACTTTCAAATCATTGAGGATTGCAAAATACGAATAAAAAACAATTGTATTATTTTCTCCACAAATCTCTCCATTAGGCGTAATAGCAGCATATTGGTGCAAAGGCGCAAAAGTATGCGATAGCTCTTCGAGAGCGAGCAAACGCTGCTCGAGTAACAAACAGTCCTACATCTTCTAAATTCTATGTTTACTATAGCTGCCGTGGTTCCTCTTCCCGCTCAGCTGATGGTGGCGGCGATGACTCGTACCTTGACGGCTTCATTTTGAAATGTCTATCATCATCACTGGACTCATACTCTACAGCATTGCCACTACTGCTCTTCCTCCCACCGCCACTAGTAGCAGAAACTGCCTTGGCAGAGACCGAAGACGTCTTGTAATCGTATCCATTGGAGGATGGTTTGTGATGGCCAGAAGATGCCGGTGCATCAGAAGATATCTTCCGTTTCTTCATGCTAATTTCTTCTTCTGGAAAGCTAATGCGAGAAAACACGCTTGCCTTTGACTTCTTATCCATTCCTGATGTAGAAGTCGTGGACGTTAATTTGGGTGCTGGTTCAGGTGCATGCTTGGAAGACTCAGAGCGAAGATGGTGATGGTGATGGCGATAACGACCGTGATCATGATCATCATAGTTTCGATCATAATCACACTCAAGGTCATGATGCTGGTCAGATTTCCTCTTTGAAGGACGGGGAGGTGTTGCTTCGTCCCGTAAGGAACGTTCTTGTGTGGTCCTCTCTGATCGGTGCCAGTGATGCTTGCGGCGATGATCGCCGCCCGACATTTGTGGAATAGGCTTCTGCAACAAACAAACATAATTAAATGATACATCATCAACGGGTCATCTAATTTCTCATGTCGCTAACAAGAAATACAAGGCTTAAACTGTGCAACTCTGACCAACTCTATATGGTTATCGTTTTTCAGTGTAAACTACCATAAAAATTTTCGACTGAAAAACCAAGAAAATGGAGAAACTTCAAAGTAGGCCTGAGCTAAAACAGCCGGTCAGAATAGAAAGTTCCAAGTTTTATACACTTCCTTGAATTCTCAATATCAATAAATGGAACCATGTGTTCATAACCAAAAATAAAAGCATAAAAGCTATAAAAAAAAAAGGCGATCGAAACAACCAGTGAATCCCAATTATTGAAACTTAATGACACTATAAAAAAATAAAATCTTATATTCCTACGTTACAAGCCGGTGCATCCTAGACAATTGATTGCTGACAATCATGTAGCATACCTCCTCGCATGACAAACAAGAATAAAACAAAGCTAGGGGAAAAAATAACGCATACCGATTTTGACTTCAATGACGAAACATCGGCACTGTGCTCACTTCCTAACAAATTCCTGATCTCTAGACAACTCTTTGCTACCGGGGACGGAACTATGGGCCCTGGCCCACAATTGTTTTGGGATTAACTCCTTCTTAGGTCCCTTCTATTTTAAAGTTAGATAAATTGAGCCTTAACTTATTTTTTGTTTAAATACGTTACAGTTCCTCTTAGTTTTAAAGTTAACTAAATTGAGCCTTACTCCTAATTTTTATTTACATACCTTTTAGTCTTACTTATTTCAAGATTAGATAATTTAGAGTCTCTTCTCATTTTTTTATATCGATGACTCAACAATATATGCCATATAATTTTGTTAGTAAAAAGTATAATTAAAAAAGGATTAGTTAAGAACTTATATAACTTGAGTTTAACCCTACTTCATTAGGGATTTTAATTTAATTTATAACATATAAATGATTAATAAATTAAATATTTATAGAATTATTGATTACATTTATTATAATTTTATCATGAAAATTAAATATTTTAAACAAAATTTATGTTGATTTTCTACTACTCAAATTCCATCAAGTAAAATTAATTGATTACTAATTTTACATCCTTTTCAAAAGACTAAAAATAACTGCTAAAATTTTCACATAATTTTTATATTTGTTACAAATAATCTTTTTAATAAAAATAAATATTAAATAATTATAATTTTTTTTTTCAAAACTTTGTCTTATTGTACGATAGTGTATTTTATTATATCACAATCTTTTTTAAATACTTTATATTCACATAAATTTTAATAAACTAATCATTCATATTATATAAACTTTGATACATGTCTTATTTATATTATATCCATCTTATTTTGTATGAGACATGAACCACTTATTCAATTTAAAACATTTTAAATTTTACACTTTGATAAATGAAAATAGACGGTCAATATTTAATAATATGTATGAATAGATATTCACATAAAAAAATAAAAAGATAAATCTTAACTGTCTATTTTCACAATTATCTTAAAAACACATAAAACTTAAAAAAAAATTATATTGTGTAGATAAGTCTTAACCAAAATTTTGTATAATTTCATGTTTTAGTTTTAAAATTATAAAAATTTTAATTTATTAATATATTTGTACCATAATGTGTTTTGTAGTATAATATCATACTTTAGTATATTAGAAATTTTATTTCTTAGTAATAGTTATTAATTATAATAACCGTGAACTATATAAATATTATATATTTCACTACCTATTACGTAATTTGACACACAAAAAATGACCGGACATATAAATGAATGGTAAATTGTAATAAATTTGCATTTTATGTTTAAAATCAACAAAATTAAAACTAAAGTTAAAAAAATCATTAAAATTAAATTACGAGGACAAAACCCAATACAGTTCAAATTTAACTATAAGATAAAAAGAGGGTTATCATTCAAAAACAAGAGTTACATTTCTTTCCAAAAAGCAAAGAGTGATAAGTTTAATTAAAAAAAAGGGAAAAGAATCATAAGTTGGTCGATGAAAATTAAAAAGGGAAAGAGAATCTCACACATCGGTCAATATTAAGGAAGATACAATCACCACATAGGCTAGAAAAAAGAAAATGCCTATCTGAACGAAGAATTTTGGATTTTCTCTCATGTTGGGAGATGTAACCGCCCTGCAAAACCAGAATCCTCTCCTAGTTAATAAAACCTCGTGGCTGGTGAAAATGGAGTAAAGAAAAGACATGGAAAGTGAAATTATGATTCAACAAGTAGCTTTTGTGGATGGTGCAACTGGATTTTTACCTTGCGATTCGCTGTGAAAATCGATGAAATGGCAAACTCTGGATGAATACAATTCCGGGTCCTGTTAGAACAGCTGTAACCACATTGTCCCCCTGCAAGGTTGCATCGAAAGAACCACAAAATTTAAATGGCTGCATATGCAAATCCCAGTCACGTGCATCGAGCAAGTAGGGTGTTATCAACCAGTGACAGTGTGCTCATAATAGAAGATTCGGAATGTACATTTTTAAACAAGCCCCGACTTCTTACCATATGTAATCAATATTTTTCGTCATTAGAAATATACCGTCAACGATAACTGAAAGCACGCAATTGTAAAAGGAACATACATGCACCAGAACTCCTAAACCACCGTTAATCGAGCGGGTAAAAATATTAATTGAAAGCAGCTTACCCCAAAGACTGCTCTTCTTATTGGACCATTGTATTTGATTTGAACGTCGATGGATGTAGTAAGGGCCACTATGCATGAGATATCAACTGCCAATACCTCCCCCACCTCAAGATTTTTCTGCACAACTAGCAAAGGAAAGACCCCCCCGGAATCCCAATGGTCAGTTTACCTATGTGTATAAATTTATAATTTCAATAGATTGCAACAACTAGAAAGAGGAATATGTTATCAATCATCAATGGTTGGCAACCATGCTCTTTAGAACAACGAGATCAAAAGATATGAAAAATAAGGAAAATAAAACATGCTATTTAGTGACCTGTAACGTGCTATCTTTTGAACTCAAGCAACTCAAAAGGCAATAAAAGGATGAACAAAAGAAAAGATACATACCAGATCCACCAGCAAGGATAAATGCAAGCCCCTGGCCAGATATCTTCTGTCTCAGAAATCCCTGTTTATGCCAGTAACACATCCATCAAATTCACAGATACACAAAGCTTAGAAAACTGAGGAATAAACCAAAGAAACAGAAAAACTGATAAAGATCTTTGAACGCAGCAAGTGTATGAATCTAAGAGAAGAAGGGAAAATGATAAAAAATTAATTTATCATTACATCACCTCTACACCGGTTACAACATTCCGTGGCCGCTGATCAACTGTATTATTAACCTTCACATCATTGATAGAGCAAAGAAATGCATCTGGCTA